GGTGTCCGTGAAGGATCCCTACTCTCTGCATTTTTATTCAGTTTTATCAGAGACTTTCTGATAGAGGTCTCCCTCTTATCATCTGACCACACAGGGATTGACCTGTTAACATGAGAATTTTCGGTAGACATAGAATACACAGATGACATCGTCCTGTTTGGTGAAAACGCTGACAAAATGCAGACTCTTCTGAACACCTCAGCTGGCACTTTGAGAATGTTTGAGATGCGTTCCTTACCACAGATTCAATGCAAATCGTTGCTCTAGAACTGATCTTCAGTGGTGCCTGGTTAAAAAGTAAAACGTGAAGTGGTTGAGTGCACTGAACACTTCACTTACCTGAGAAGTCGAATCGTCCCTGAGCTGATGGGTGGGTAGCCGACGAAATCTCTGCACGAATACAAAAGGTTTGGTTGACCTTTGGAAACTTACATCATCTGTGGGGCCGCCGCTGTGTCCCCTTGTCTATTAAGGATTGAGTGTACTGTGCTCCAGTCTACTCTGTTACATTCTATGGCTGTGAAACATGGCCATTAAAGGTAGAAGACATGAGAAGGTTTTAGGTGTTTGATCACCGTCAACTTCGTAGTGTAGGCCATGTTTGGTGTTGTCACCACGTGAGTAGCGCAGAAGTCGGACGTAGAGTTTTAAGGAAGAGATGAAAGTCAAATGATGCTGTTATGAACCTCCATCAATTGAGGTGACTGGAGCATGTGTTGCATATACCTAGTCACCATCCGTCTCGTCACAAATTGTTGTCCGAAGTAGGTTCAGGCTGGAACAGGGCTCGAAACAGTCAGACTAAAACATGGCATCATTGCATGAGATCCTTGACTGTTGGTTTAAGTCATGTAGGGAGATACGGACTAGCTGGTTGGGGTCCGTGGGACAAGAGAAACCGGAGGTTGGAGGCTGACTCTAGATGATGTGGTTGAGAAGCTATATGAGTAACCGCTATACCTAATCTCATCTTTTCCTCATTCCTCCTCCCTCTCTTTCACTACTTTCTACTTGTATTTCCTTTGAATGATTTTTCTTCCTTTCCTCATCTCCTGTTTGATTGCCTTATTACATGGTATGCTGAAATGAGATAAGGTGTGGCAACTTGTGTTGTTATAGAGTAATTCATGGTCCTATTTTGATCTTACTAATGATGATAAGTCGTCTGTAGCGGTGCAGCTAATCCATTACAAGTTAAAATATAAAACATTGATTAACTAAAATTTTGCTGGTAAATGCTACTAACAAAGTTTAGCCACCCTCTGATTAAATGCTAGTCGAACTGTGGCTGACTACTGTAAGCCCTCGACTTCCAACTGCTGGGTCACAGATTCAAACTAATCTCCACCTAGGGAAGTTTAAGCAGTTAACACAATACATGTGGCTCATTGCCTACTGAAAAGATGTGTACAGGATTATTAAGTGTACTTGAGTTTTTTTCTAAGGGATACAACTGGAATTATGAAATGTGATTAATCTCACTTATATCTCTAATCTTGTGAAAATTTAACAAAATTCATTTCTGCCTCCCTCTATAGGACACGAATATTGATCATAAGTTAAGAAAGGCTTAACTGAGATTCAGAACGTCAACCAGTTAGTTATATCTCCATATTATTTCTAAACGAACTCATGAATTGAGCATGAACTTCATCTACTACTGTTTGTACACGTTACTCTGAGCCTGAAAGACAACCATAGTCAACATATGGCAGATTTGGATTTGTTTATCTGCATAGACAGAACTAGTGAATATGCAAAGTAAAAAACACTGAAACCATAGTATGTCCACTGAACAATGAGCCACTATTGTGGCTCAGTGGTGTAGTGGATAACGCCTTGACGTTTGAAGTGACTGACACTGGGTTTGAATCTCAGTGTGGACAACATCAATCGCTGAGGTGCAGGCACATCCAGCTGACGAGCCCTAAATAGGACGAAATACTTGTCCTCGATTCCACTGTTGGCTACTGCCCATCGTAAATACAAGAAAATGTTTGGTTTCTTCATACCCCAGTACTCTCAATAAGAGTTGATAGCTTACTTTATCCAGTTTGAGACATATGTATGCCTGAAGATTTCCCACTTCTGCTGCCGATGTACAAAAAACTATTTTATTGACTTAATTTCAGAAAAATCTGTAGTGTTAAGTACTAGAAAGAAAGAGCAGAGGATGGAGATGAATCTATGGCAGAGAGGGTGGTATTGTGTCTCCGAAAGTGTTCATCAGCTGCATGTGCATGTGTGTGTGATTCAAGTTGAATATAAGTAATGTATAGCAGTAACAGACTATTATTGTACACACTTAAATGCCTTGTCCTCTGTGTTCTTACATGAAAACAGAGATTATAGTGTTAGATTATAGGATTATATATGTATATACGTTACTGATTAGCCCAATCACACTTCATAAGTAAGCGAGTAAGGGAAGACTGTATATAGGAATAGTAGTTTGAACGAATATTATCAGTAGCCATCTATCCAAACAAATCATGGATAAAAAATGCATTGAGCACATAGACATGAAAATATATACTTAAACTAAATGAGAGAGTAATTCTACAGACAACTGCAATCAGTACTACACAAGACTCCAGTTGGCGACATCAAAATTCTAATGGGCTATATGAATGTTAAACTGGGAGCGGATAACACCGGAAGAGAACTCATCAGGGGTCAAGAAGTGCTAGGTGAAATGAATGAGAATGGAGAACTGTTTGCAGATTTCTGCGCATTCAACGACTTGGTGATTCAAGGTAGTGTGTACAAACACAAGGATATTCACAAGGCAGCGACATGGGTTTCACCAGATGGACACACTACACTAAAAATCAGATCCACTAGGAACCCAAGCGACAAATAATAATAATAATAATAAACTGAGGGAGTAGTAGTTAAACAAACTAATCTTATTGTAACTGGAAACTAACTGAAGTTGAAAGTAAAGCTTGAATTCCATCAGGGATCGAACTTCTAGCCATGCTATACTGACTGAACTATTCACCTCCACTACTGACCAGTTGTCAGTCTTACTTTATTCACGGAAAGATTTGCCTAGCTGTTGTGTGGACAAGCACTAAGTTACTGTCCGTTAGCTGTGATCACCTCAACTTCCCAGACAAGTCTTCTCATTCCAGTTACAGCTGAGTCCTTCCTTCCTTATCCCTACCTAAGTAAACCGAATAAATTACTAGTAAAACCTCTTGATTACAGCAGATATTAATCAGTTTCGATTAAGGTATTGTAACGTTAGAAATTCTTGTAAAAGTCTGATTCGGAAATTTTTAATCAAAGTTGAGATTGTGTCACAATACTTCAGTGAAGTATTCTCTGAAGGTTGTATTTATTGTCAACAGAATGTTTTTATTGGCCAAATTTCAAGATTGGAACCAATGCTGCAGAACCTCAAGAAGAACAGTTCACGTGGTCGATATGAGCTACATTCACGCATTTTATCAACACTGGTCGATATCATCGCTGAACTGGTATCTTAGCTGTTTAGTGTGTCACCGAACCAAACGAAATCACAAAAGGCTTGGAACTATGTCACCGTCAGTCCATTCTATAAAACTGTTCACATATATCTAGTGGCTAACTGTCGTTCGGTGAGTCTGACCAGCTTAGTCGTATTACCCTTTGTAAAATACCAGCCGTTGAAGAGATGGAAGACAGACAAGACGGAAAGAATGTTTATTAACGACAATTGGAACTGTAATCGTTGCATATGGTACACCTTGCATTAAATCCATCATTGAAAAATGTGCTTCGTTTCCTCTTCTGTTTCCCTGTTGATTTACTGTTCATACATTCTTATCACCAGCGTCCACTCCAATACGCCTGAGTTATCCCTTGCGTTACTCTTGGCAGAATCGTTACCCACTGCTGGTAATTCCCTATGATTCCTGCCACCCTTTCAACATATACTACTTATATCCATACTTATTAGCAACGCCCACTACACCGTAATCCCATTCTGTTGGATGTTGAGGGAAATGAACTTTTAGCTATGTAACAGCATGAGTTAAGGGCCAGCCATTTATACCGAACATATCTCATCACTGTGAGAGGATTGGACTGCTGACGGTGATATGTATGTTCCAACTGATGGAATCAAAGCTTCACATAGAGTCTGTAGCCTAAGTCTCATGAATCTGGGGTGCTTTGAGATAAATAATGTAGATAGAAGGTGGGTCATACGTTTTATTTTTAAAGGTATAGAATAAACGAAGTTTTGTCGTGGTGGAAACCAGTAAAGAGTGGATTACCTCGGGATATTGTCTTCTCATTCTGTTCTATGTAAACGATATGTCCAAAATGACAACATTTACAGTCCCCATTTTTGTAAATGATGCGAAACTCTAGAGACCTATCCAAAATGATGAAGGTAGGCTGCTCCTACAAGACTACCTCAAGGTATTAGTAGACTGTTCCTCAAGATGGTGTTTAGAAATGAATGCCATTAAGAGATTAGTCATGTGAACAGATTACGACGATCCACATGGCTACTTAATCAACGATATGCTACTGAAAAAGGTTACCGAATACAAGATCTCAGGTATCCTGTTTTTTCATAACAGCTGGCAGTTGTAGAATGGCAAGTAGCTTCTTCATATCTTAGTTGTTGCTAAACGTCTTTTAGATCATCTATGAAAGCGTCTTCTGGATCATAAACCTGACATATTTAAGAGATAGAAATTGTAGTGAACATTTGCAGCCTAATATGTGAGTGTTCACAGTAAGTTTTTTTCTGATCTGCGAATTTCGGTTAGTATATGGTTCAGTGTCACGCTAGACATCCCCACCAGTGTATCAAAGCCTCACAAAGATGTGAATTTAATTGGCTGAATATAGGTACTGGTTGTTGAATTCAGTTTTCTAGGTATTTCACTGAATCTTTAGGTCCCTAATAGAAAAGAAATAACTTTTGTATAAATCCCCGAGAAAAAACTACTAATCATTTCTATTGAAAAAGAATAAAGTAATAAAATGTTCTAACTTACTTCAAAATTCAAACTTTCAGTTTCTGAGGAACAAGGCTCTGTTGGAAGAAATGTTTATGCTGATCCGTACAGAAGATCTGGAACAAAACAGGATAAATATAGTTTATTAGACACTTATATTTTTCAGGTGTAACATCATGCCCATCGACATGACTCTGGAAAAAGTTGGAAATGGGCCTAATAATGACCATGAGCTTACATTACGAGCTAAGGTACCAGTAAATGATATCATACCAGGAGTACGATTGCCCCTGAAATTCACAGTTCTCAAGTTTCGAAATAAAATATATAAACAAACTGAAGATGTTGGCATGGGATCACTTATATCTCCTATCTTCGCAGACACATTTATGGATAGTTGGGAACAGATGGACCTTCAAACACTTAGTGCCCTTCTAAAAGTATGGTTTCGATATATAGATGGTACGTTTACAGTGTTGATATCAGAAAACTTACAGTATTTCTGTACACATGAATTCATCTATGAATTAGAAAATAATGAGGCGGAATTACCGAGGTTGGATTGTAGAATAAAACGGAAACAAGATAGAAGTTTAGATATTAGTGTTTATAGAACACCTTCATACACGAATCGTTACTTAAACTTTAGATCGTCTTACTCTATAACGGTTAAAGTTGACTTGGTCAAATGTCTTAGTAACAGAGTCAGAAAACTTACTAGTTAAACAGAAGATATAAGATAAGAAATTGAATGCTTTAGGACACCCTACTCATCAGTGATTCCCCTCTTAAATTTATCAGTAAGACTGGGATTAGAGTGGCATTTAAACCTATAGACTCACTTGGAAATAACCTTTGTAGGTTAAAAGATCCTATTGATCCAATTAAGCACAATAATTTAGTTTACCAAATCTTCTGCAACGATTGCAAGGTCAAACACATAGGTCAAAGTTGTCGACCAGAGTTAATTAGGCTATTCGAGCAAAAAGCTAAGCTAGGTCAAAATTGGTAGATCCTAGTAAGATAGAGAATTTCGAAAAAACTCAGTCATAGCTATGCATGCAATTACACCCAAACAAACAACAGAGTGAAGCAGGGTGAAAATCCTTAAGAATAACATGAAGGGTTAGAGGGAGACACTGATAAATGAATCTTTGCTTATCGAACCAACACCTCATACATGTAACAAGAATAATTCAGAACTCGTTCCAAATGTAGAGAAAATCCTACTTCCCATATCACAAAGACAGTGAGAAAATTAGTTGTGTAATTATCTTGATATGACTATAGACGATAAGTTGTGTGTAAAACGTCATCCAGTAAATAATACCAACTTTTTCACTGTTGACTTTAATAAATCAACTAAAATGGAGTTACATTCTACCTAAATACCAAAGTTTTACCTCTATGTTATATGCAGTTTTCTATAATTTTAGTCAAAGAACTGTGGAGTTGCTATTTATGAAGAAGCGTTTGACATCAATAAACAATAACTCAGCAATACACATTATTATTATTATTAGTCCCTTCGGTTCCTAATGGAACATAGGGCTTCAGTAGCACGTCTCCATTCCACTCTGCTCTCTGAGATCTTTTGAACCTGGTTCCACGACAGCCCACAACCTCTCATTTCCTCCTCGCACGACCTCCTTCATGTCACCCTCGCCTTGGACGCCCAACTCGTCCCTTCCCATGGGGATTCCACTCGAGGGCCTGATGTCCCCAGTCGGCCTTCTAAGTGCATGCTCAATCCATCTCCATTTCCTCTTGCATATTTGTTGCGTGATAGGTTCTTGGTTGGTTCGTTCCCAGAGCTCCTTCTTGCTTATTCTCATTATTCTGGCCATCTGATCTTCAGTAGCGAGCCAGCGTAGGCAGTTGTTGATGAATGTCTGTAGTTTATTGGAAATCCCTTTCGTGACGCGCCAAGTCTCTCAGCCATACAGAAGCACTGACTTGACGTTGGTGTTGAAAATCCGTATCTTGTTCCGCATGCTGAGTGCAGAAGATCTCCACACTGGTTTCAGGCTAATGAACGCCTGTTTTGCTTTTCCGATTCTGACTTTGACGTCCTCGTCCGTCCCGCCTGTAGTTGAAACAGTGCTTCCTAGATAAGTGAAAGAGGTTACTTCCTTTATGTTTCTCCCATTGATGGTGACTGGAGTTTGTTGTTGTTGTTGATGGTGGTGGTGCGGTATCTTCATCACTTCTGTCTTCTCTATATTCACTTGAATGGTGTCCCGTCTTCGCTGCCTCTTCTATCAACTAGTTAGTTTTCGCCTGTAGATCTTCAAGTTTATGTGACATCAGGCACAAGTCATCGACGAAATCCAAGTCTTCTAGGTGGTAGTTTTGAATCCAGTGCATCTTTAAGCCTCTCCAGGATGATGCGGCTTAATATTTTGCTTGCTCTGGGTGGACAGAAGAATGATTCTGCGCCAGTTCTTGCAAATACTGAAGTCTCCCTTCTTCGGCAGTTTGACAAGGTAACCCTTCTTCCAATCACCAGGTACCTGCTCTTCCTTCCACACTTTCTGCAATAGTGGTGTGAGCATGTCCGCTGTTGTCTCTGCGTCTGTTCTCAGTGCTTCTGGGGGGATCTCATCTGGTCCTGCTACTTTCCCGCATTTCAGTAGCTTAATGGCTTTCAGGACTTCCATTTTTGTTGGAGGATTTATGTTCACTTGTAGTTCAGCGGCTGTAGGCGGTATTTCTGGACGAAGTGCAGGTGGTGGTGGTGGTCGACTCAAGAGCTTCTTGAAGTGGTCGGCTCATCGTTCCCTTTGTTTCTCTTCTTTCGTAATTAAATTTCCTTCATCATCTTTTATTGGCTTCGTCTGCGTTGGTCTCTTCCCAGATAGCAACAATACACATCATTGGTAAGAATTAAGACTATCAGTCTTAAGATTGTTGCTTTAACCTTTTCGTCATCTAATCTGACTGCAATGACTGCTAATCTATCAAAGATTTGGACAGAATATGTTGATTGCGTAATGGGAATACTTCAAGGATACTAGAGACAAGTCCTGTTCTTCGGTAAACCAACAATTGACATATAGGGAAGTGGAAACAGTACAGTGAAATAACTTTACCACTGTCATCTCATAGTGAAACTGCTGGCAGAATGGTCTAGGCAACTGACTCTCAACTAATGCACCATGAGTTCAAATACCACTCTACCTACTGAGGTTTGGATAGTCGGCTGGTAGCATTAACCATAACATTAGATGTGGCTCATCGCCTACTGCTCAAATGTGCGCAAGTTTACTGAGTGCATTTCAACTGTCAGTTCAAGGAGTGAATGGGAAAGAAATAGAAGCGGGAATTAATAAATTTTTCAAACGTTGTAAAGCAAATCTGGCTTTGGAAACGTCTTCAATACGATTTTAAGTCACTTATACGTTTCGTGAAAAGACAGGTAGACAAGATCAGCGTAGAACCTCGCATGCAAGTACACTGGTTCAAGTTGCCACATTTTAAAGAAGCAAGAAAGGAACAAGTAAGTAGAAAAAGGCTGATATACAAGAAGACAAAGCTGAATGAGAGGCTAAAGAATTTGAAAATCAGCGCTAATGAAGATGATCAAACTTTAAAAGTTGTTGGTAATTTTCAGCCGTCACCAACGGTCTCCAACTGTTGACTCCTATCATCTCGAGGATCCCGGCCAGACAGTGTACACCATCCCAGCTGGCTCAAACTAACAGTCACCGATTTCTAGGACAGATACCATATCCTCGTTTGGCCACTGTGAACCTTCTTTCAATCCACACCTGATTTCGTTAAAGTTTTACATCGAGGTAGTTGGTGGTTCGACATGCACAACACATTTCCTTGCCTAGTATCCTTCATCTAACCTCGACATTGCTCATATGTTACTTTGTGAAAATGTTTTAGATTCGGAAGGCAAACTATTCTATGTAAAAGAACCTGAGAAATTTGGGTAGGCACATGATTGATTAACCTTCTTTCGATCCATATATGGCAGAGTACTGATATATCAGATTAAACACTGAATCTTCAGTAAGTGGTTTGTGAGTTCAAATATCGCCGTGTTATGTAGGTTTTTACAACTACCTGACATCACAACTCTTCTTAGTTTGACGTGGGACAACATCAAATACACGAAACTGTATGTAAATGCCAAGTTACAGTCTCTGTACAAGCCTAAAGGAACTGGTGTCCCTTCAGGACTAGACAACATGAAATTTGGCACTCTCCAGTGATCAATCAAAGCCAGTGATGGTAAGGTCACTGATGCAGGTTCGGATCTCAGAAGGGACCTGAGTTCTCTAAGAGTCACACATATGGATTGCTAACGAGTACTGGAAAGCATGAAGCCTAGGAAGTGGGCTTCCTGCCGATTGCGTCTAACCAACTAAGATAGCCATCTCTGCAAAGGGGAAATGTGCCTATTGCTATTAAAATCATTTAGGTAGACTGAATAATATTCGAATCTATAATCTACTGGTTGAGAATGACTTAGTCACATAACTGAAAGCCTTAAAAAAAACACGCTTTCGTTGACCAAAAGTCAAGCCTACACACTTCATGACTGAAGTAGGAGTTATCAGAGTCACAGCATAGGCATCCGACGACTCTGATCTTCATTAGTTGTAAGTATTATATTCATTTTTTCTCGTATCAAATTTCATTCTTGCCAGAACTTTAGTTTGAAAAAAGTTTATCACTCACAGTAATGCAAAAATGCATCATGACAGGAATTAGTTGCGTTGTTCCAGGAAAGTGCATGCTTAGGCCTTTGTGAAAATCAGTGCCAGTGGTTACAGCCCTTGGCACTACTCCACCCATTCTGTAGTTGCTGATTGATGGTGAGTAGCATAATCGAAGACATATTTATCAATTAAGAGTGCTGAGTATAGCAACCACTTCGGCAGTCAAAGGCTAGGAAATAAAATCTTTGCTTTGATAGCTGAATATGGAAGTATATAGACATGCGTCATCTGTGGCACCGACTAGCAACATATTCAGCTATCTGTTAGGGGACAAGTTGATAGCACAGCCATTTAAGTTTGAAGACACGAAAAAATTACAGGGTTTTGACCATAGTGTCTCCGTAACATTGCTCTTGTTTGGTGGAATCACCGTGTGAGCAATG